CGGATTGATCTTTCCAGCTGCTTGAAGAGTCGGGCGGCGTTCCGCTGCTCCTCTGCAAGCTGCGAAGGCTGGATCTTGTTGACGAGAAGCATCAGTCCGGCAGCTGAAGTGAAGAGGACGGCGGAGGAGAGGTTGAGGGGTTGGGATGCTGCTATTTCAGGGATGGAGGCGATCGCAGCCATGAGAGAGGCGGTGAGGTTGATGGAATTGATAGAATGGAGGAAGAGGTGGTTCCAATTGTTGCGCTGCTCGCCGATGATGGCATGCATTTCTGCGCGGTCTGCGGCGGCCTCGGCGATGGCAAGAAGCTTGGCGATGATTAAGCTCTTGTTCTGCTCTTCCTTGTCATGAGCAACCAACTTGTTCCTCTTGATGGTCGATTGTCCTGTTAACATGGTAAGTTCTTCAAATGGGATGAGAGATTGAAGTTTTGGAAGAGACTGAAGGCTTGCTCGCCATCTTCCTCGGCACGGCGGGAGCCGCGACGGTATAAAGCATGAAGGTTGAAGAAGGCAGTGGGTCTGTAGTGCGGCCATCTTAATTCTTCCTAAGATCTTTCGGTGGCCTGTTTTCTCTCTTCTGCTGAAGTTCAACAAATCTTGGGTTTTGATCTGTATATTTGATGTTTGGATGGGGAGTTGGGTATTTATAGAAAGAATACAAGCAGGAAGGAGGGGCAGAGAAGTGTCAACGTAGACTTGGCTGAGATGTTTGAATTAGAATCCTTGAAAGCGTCCATGTTGAAGAGGACCAGCCATCATCGTATACTACTAATTACTATAGGAAAGAGTCAAATAAATTATTTAACGATTTATCTGAACCATGCACGCGCAAATGTGGAGGTCATCTTTTATATACTGCTGAATAGCTCGCGATTCGTCTGGGACGGCTTCCTTCCTCCTTTTTAAAATAGCTTATTATTAGAAAATTTTAATTTTTTTAACTAAAAATTTACTTTAAAAATCAATAAGAAATTCGTCCCAAATAAACCTAAGCCCTTTCACATATTAACGTTATATATATATATATATATATATGATTAATCAAATAATTAAAAAAATTAGATTAAGTGAAGTCAGGCCCAAATCAAATTAAGTCATAATAAACTCAAGCAAAACTCTTCAAATCTACTGATAAACTGTCGTCTAGTAGGCGAGTATGATTTGTCAAGTCAACCCTAGCAACTTTTTATTAGTTGGGAAGACTACTTGTTCATGTCGGATATTCTAATTATGCTATATGATTATTGTATATTTTCTTTTTTTTTTCTGTATAGTCATGAATGTAGTCAATTCTTAATGCTTAAGCCCCAACTCAAAATGTGTAAGTAGAGAGTCAATGGGTGAACTCAATTTATGCAATTTTTTGTATTCAAATTTATCTTATAAAATCTCATAGCTTCACATGCAAATTTAGATTCACTTCAAGACAAGTAACATTTAATACTAGAAAATTTAACAAATTCTTATTAATAACTTTTTATCTATTTATTTCATAATTTAAATAATTATAAGTTCAACCATATTGTTTACTTGTAGTTTTAGAATTCAAGTGGCCTCAAGAAGATTTTTCGTAATATTTAATGCTTCATTTGGAACAGCTTTTTTAATGCTTTTAAAATCAATTTTTAATATAAAAATCTCTTGAATTTAAAATTTGAGTGCTATAAAGCTACTTTATAAAGTAGTGAAAAAATTGTCTCTAATGAAACCTAAATAAAATCCTTATCAAGGCTTTGTCTTGGAAAGCTTTTTTATTACTTTCTAAAATAGCTTTTTAGTACCAAAAATTTTTGCACTAAAAAACTATTTTAAAAAACAATATGAAAGCTGTGTCAAACGAAGCCTAAATCTTGTTCAATATGAAAGCTGTGTCAAACGAAGCCTAAATCTTGTTCAGAACTCTCTATCAAACACCATAATCTTAAATTTTAATTTGTTACAAAAAATAATTTATAATTATCTTTATTATTTTCTCGATCAAAACAAATGATGCCATATATAATATTGAAGCGAGCACCCCAACTCACATCCTAAGCTAATTTTTAGTTTGTTTCTCAATTCTCATAGCTTTTTTTTTTTTTTTTGGAAATTTACACACATACCACTTTATAACATCATATTTATATATCTAACACCTAAAATTTTAATATTACATGCATACCACCTTATATTATTTTAATATCAAATATACCACTTATATTTTTTACTATCACTCATATATTTCATTTATATCACTTATATTTGATGTGAAAATGAATTATATGTGGTATGTATGTAATATTAAAATTTCAGGGGTTAAATATGTAAATAGAGTAGTATAATGTGGTATGTATGTAAATCTCCATTTTTTTTTTCTTTTTCCACATGATGATAAAGCATGCATTATTGTTACCTTGGGGAGGTATTGATTCTCTTGAATTACTATGATAAATGTAGCTTGTGCTTATACTAATTAATGTTTCATATTTTTTTCCTGAAATTATTAACGCACTATAAAGGATTTATCATCTTAATTTTTCATAAAAATCACATACATATAGACAAGTTGAGAGAAATATAGATGAGATATGAGAATTTTCATGTAAAAAAACCCGAAAAAAAAAAATCATAAAAAATAATGTTCTTTTAATAAAAACTATATCTCTTGAAAACTAATTTTATCTATATATATAATTGATCTTCGAACACAATTAAGATATTAAAATATTTCTCTACCAACATGAATGATTTAGCACACAAATACCATAATGACTTTCTCATTTGATTGGATTTTTAATTAATACATCAATTTTCAAATATTTTAAATTAAAAAAGTATTTGCATATTTAGAATAATTATCATGCTTTACATAAATAAATTTAAATGACAAAAGAATTCTATAGCCAATTAATTATCCTTCTAAATTTTATTAGCAAATAAAATTTGATGCTAAAACTTATTATTTATATCACAAATATATTGTTCTAAATCAAACTTTTTAGTATAATCAATTATATAGTGGATACATAAGTAGTGGTATTTAAAAAAAAAGAATAAAAATGGAAAAATGCCCATTAAGAGGAACTTTTATTCGGTCTGGTGAACGTACGCTCCTCTACGTTCGGCCACCAATGTTTTAGCGCCACGTAGCATGAAGAAAAGTCGCCGACCCGACCCGCTGTTTTTTGGGTTCTCGCACGTGCGTTTTTTAAAATCCTTGACGAGCCAAACAACATCCCATCACCTTTTGGATATATTTCAAATACCTAGCAATACCGAGCAAATACCAATTGGTTGTACCTAGTTTTTTCTAGCAATACCGAGCAAAATACCTAGCAATACCGAGTAAATCCTTAGCAATACCGAGCAAATACCTAGCAATATCGAGCAAATACTGAGTTGTACCGAGTTGTACCGAGTTTTTTCTAGCAATACCGAGCAAATACCTAGCAATACCGAGCAAATCCCTAACAATACCGAGCAAATCCAGAGCAAATACTGAGTTGTACCGAGTTGTAAAAAACTCGGTACAACTCGGTATTTGCATGGTATTGATCTTCACAGAGCGGTATTTCTCATTTTTGCAAAGCAATACCGAGCAATACCGAGAAAATCGCAAACATAGCATTCCCGGGTTCCGCTCCAGGTCAAGTCGTCGGGCCGTGCGGTTTAGAGTAAGAGCACGTGGCGACATGTTATTGGCGACCGAACGTAGCTCTACGTCCGGTCAGAGGACGTAATAATTTGATGTTTTTGTCATGTCTCATAGATGCCAACCTAATAACTAGGTTTAAGTTGTTCCATGTCTAAAGTTATTTTGAAAATGATCAGCGGCGTTGCCCAGATGACCTCCAATTGTAAAACGGACTTCGTCTTTCCATTTGGAACGCCGTCAATACCCAAAAATGATCATCTATTTGCTCAATTAAATTCGTCTGTTGAAATCAGCACGTATCCCGAAGCAACTGCATGCAAAATGAAAAAATTGATGCACGGCATTTGTCCAAACGACTTTCAATCACAAAACGAATTGTGTCATTGCGATCGGAATGTCGATAATATCCAAAATCAGCTATAATTTTGTCCAATAAAAATTAAGCGTGCGAATTAACGATAATATTGTCTATTTGACTGCTAATGATGACAATATTTCACATTTTGACAAATTTGATGAGAATATTATGAGAAATTATAGAGGAAAATATTCACATGCCAAAACGCAATAAATAAATATTTGATGCATTACAATAGTTTAAGCAGTCCAAATAATAACAATAAGAAAACAACTTACATAAGATAGGCAGAAGAACTAATCAATTGGAGAAAGAGAAACCTGGAGTGCTGCGATGCCATTGTTGGAACATACCAATTATCACTGAATAATAATATGAGTATTTTAACACTGTCGAACTGTGATTTGCTTCCAAGTAACTGAAATGGCAGTGCCTTCACTTGCTCAAGACCATAGTCCTGGCTCTAAGATTCAGAAAAATTCCCCTGAAACAAGAAAGATTTAAGAGCTACGTTAACTTAACTGAGGCTTTGTTTGGGAAGGCTTTCTTAGTGTTTCTTAAAGCAACTTTTTAGTATTAAAAGTTTAATTTTTTATACTAAAAAGTTATTCAAACAGCAGAAAAAAAAGCCGTCCAAAACGAAGCCTAAATCATTGGGATTAAGAAAGTACCAGCAGCATGCAACACAGCTATGGAATATAACACGGAGCTGAAGCGGCATGTACTGATGATTTATCCAACCTACTGCAGGCCAAAACTGAATACAGTACATACGAAGTGTTCAGTTTTAAAATAACTCAATATAATCATCATTGGGAAGATAGAGAAGTAGCATACCATCCATGATGTCAGCTGCACTGAGGGATAATCTTTCTTAATTTTGTTTTTAACTTGAGGCCAGGGTCTTCCTGCAGTGCATGAGATATGGTATCAAGGTCAAAGCAAAATGAACACATTGTGAAGTTTGCACTAGTGGGTCTCATATAGCACTCAGTAGAAATTAGGGGTATCAATATTTGACACGACCCAAAATAAAAAGTTGCCAACATATTTGTTGTCACAATCATGACACTCATTGTTTAGATTTGCTTAAAAACTAAAAATAAGCCAAACTAATCTTCTCTATAATTTTAGGGCAAAGTTTCAATCTAATCATTTTCCTAGTCTTTTTAACCTTAAGAATATAGTTTGGGTTGGTAATTAATTTCAACGCTAATATTGAAATTGTGAATATTGGTTTTAGCTAAGATTTTCAGTGCTTTTTACATCAATATCAAAGATGATTTAACATAAAGATGCCTTTAAAAAGGTGTTTTTAGTCCCAGAGATCACGTAAAAATATGGTGACTAGGGAAGTGTCACTTTGTCATCACTTATTCCTAAAACTATTTTCCAACCTAAACCCATGAATCAGTATGTAACAAAAGGCAGAGAGCATTAGGGACCATTGAGACCTTCCTTGTGAATCCTCAAAACTCAAGTCATAAGGTGCTCATAACTGTCATTTTGAAAATAATTTGATAGTCAGATTAATTTCTAATAAATTTCTTTAAAATACATAGCAAGAATATTAGTTTCTCCATTATTAGATGTATAATAACTTTCTTCTAGACCAAAAGATTTAATGCTTACTCATACATGCCTATGTAAGTAACTCCTAGCAGGCTCCCATTAAGTAACTTGATCAAGAGGGACACGTGGTTAAAGTGTCACTCACCTGAAAGGAATGTGACCCCGTAGAGTAGTTGGCACTAGCCCGTGGTCAAACGGTTACTCTCCCCAGTAGCTATCGTAGCATGTAGGCTCATCCTTCAAGAATATATTAATAAGTAGTCATTCTCAACAAGCTCCTCCAAAGGACTCGCCCAAACATGTTCAAGACCTAAGGATCACTCGCCCCAACAAAACCCGCTCACCCACAGCTGTTGTCCGCGACTAAGGCAATTCGCCTACCTCAAACATCTCCACTCAAGCTATAAGAAGTGCAAACCTCTGAAACCTATGACTACAACTTTGCTAGTTGGACTCATCCCTGACTTGTCATCGTCAAGAGAGACTCACCCTTCACTCCCGAGTACTTGACAGACATTGCTATGAGCTTGCCGCTTGTTCCTAAGGACTCGCCAGCATAGACTTACCCTACGATCCAGGTCCTAAAAACTCACCCAAGGTACTCGCTTTATATTATAATATTATATTAATAATGATAATATATATATATATATAATATTATATAATATGTATATATAATATTATATAATATGTTAATATATATTATAATATATAATATTACATATAAATTATATCATAGAGGAGGAGAACCCGATCGGGCATGAGTTGAAGACTAGAGGGCCAGGCTCAGGCAAGGGTCGCGAGAGCCTAGAGTACGCCATGCTTGCGGACTAGCTGGGCCGTTGTATGTTTTTTTTTTTTTTTTTCCGATGAAAAAGAATCCGTTGATTTAATTTCTGACGAATTTTCCAACACGTATTTATCGACGGATCATTTTTTGCCAGTAACATTTTTCCGACGCATGATTTACCGTTGAACAAATTTTCCGTCAAAAAACTGCCGGAAATGCTAATTTCCGACATATTTGGCTAATTTCTGGCGGATTTTGGCCACCGGTAATGCTCGATTTTCCTGTAGTGTTCTTTGTGTATTGTTGCTTTTTTAGTAGTGCCCCTATTCTTTTTCATTATGCCGCTGGGTTTTTCTTGGTCATCCAGGTGTGAACTTATAAACCTCAAAAGATTTCAAAAGGTCCAAGTACGGCTTTTTTCCTCTAATTGTAAAAGATGCAGGTTTACCTGGAATTTGAAATTAATATTTGACCGGTAAGCTCTTCTAATTTGACCATAGTAATTTCAGGCCCGATTTCCCAAACAAAAAGAGATGCAAAACAAAGGTCATCAAGTCAAAACATATGATATTCTACATTTATTATTAAAGACTTGAAAAAGCAAAAAATTAACTGTAAAACAAATGGATTGGCATATCAAAAGGCATCAGATTTTATTCTTCTAATCCAGTTTACATACTTGAACAAGCGACAATGAGTTAAAATGATTATTTGCATCTGGGAAAGATATGGAGTTAGAAACAAAAATGCAGAAAGTTGACTCAATAGAAAATATATTTCTTATAAAGAAATTTTAGGATAACACCACAAAAGCACATCATTCAAAAAATGAATTGATTTAATCAAGATAACTTTTCAAACTTTGTCTCTGTGTTTCGGTAACAGTTTTAGAAGGAGCTGGTGTTTTCAATCTTAGTAGTAGTAGCTTTCTATGGAGGAGATTGATGTTAATATTTGAGAGAAACCAAGCAAATAAAACACCTACATGTCAACGCCATGTTTTGCATACTGAAAATTTGTGTGCAAGCATTTCAGTACTAACATATCTTAGGCAACTATCATGTAGGGTGTGTAAATGCATAGGCCCAAAAAACATACCCTCAACAATCAAACCGTAGTATAGTAAGAAGAGGAAATTGTTCCAAGGTGAGGATGTCACCTGTTCCAGCAAAACCTGCAAAAAAACAGAACAAAAATTTGTATCTGTCGGGCGAATAATTCATTTTGAAACCAAGTTAGCCAGAATTAGATCGCCATCATCTCAACTAGCATTAATCCAATTATTTAGGTTCAGTTTTATAAATAGCCATTATGCAGCCCTTCATACTAAACATTGTAATAGGTGTTCTTCTATTGTTCAAAAAAAAATTGCACAATTTTTATTCGGGTTACGTTTGTTATAACCTTCTTTCCTCCTAATCATTCAACACTAATTTTATCTACCCATCTTAGAGATGCATTTTCTACCTTTATTTGTACATATCCAAACCACCTAAAATTATTATGCAATGCCTCATCTTCAATAAATGCTACTCTAACCATCTCATTAATATAATCATTCATGGCTCTAATGTTCCTAGTTTTACACACATCTATCTTAATATTCTCATTTCTGTCATGCTCAATTTGGCTATTAATAACTTTTGCCATGCCCAATATTTGGACCCATACGGCATAGCTGGCTAAATCACATATTTATGATCTTTTCTTTTGTGGCACAATCTTAAATAAAAAATTTAACTGTATAAGTAATACCCACATCTACCTCTCCACTATTCTATAAAAAAGATCCAGGATGCTATAATTTCATAGAACCTCAAATCTATAGGAAAAACAATATATTGTTGTACAGAAAATTCCCTTAATGCTCTTCATGGCACACCTAGTTTGTGTTTGTACAATTGCTGGACATACCTTATATTAGGGGACTATCACTTCTCCTACAGAAGGATAAGCTCGCTTAATATTTTTATCATGTTGATATCAGTAAATCATATCTTGTTATTTCTACGACCTTTACAAAAGCCATCCTTAAAGATACAAAATAAAAATTTAAAAAAAAAAAATCCTTAAAGATAAAACTCAAGATCGCAACCATACCTTTTTTGCAACCGTTTTGTTATCTTTCTTCCCCTTGAATAATTTATCCAAAAGCTTGTGCAGGAAATGCCCAAAAGGTCCACCATATGCAAATCCAAATATCTAGATTTCTTAATATTAGCAATATATAACTTCATCATTCAAATAATCTCTAATACTCTGCAAGTAATAATTCACAATATTTTTAAACAGCATTGAAAGAAACACCAAAAAATTCGATCCACATAATAATTTTCTTAATGAAATAAATTTTGGAAAAAAAAAAAGAACAGGAAAATATAGCAGAACAAGTTTTTAAAAAATGAGATTAATACTCTAAAAATTCAGGTCCCCTCAAACCGTAAAACTAATGGCCGACCAAGATTCTAGTGCAATTTTGATTGACCACAGGCTTAGGCCGGTCAAGGCAGAATGGGTGTGAAGAGCACCACTCAAAATATAATAAAGTCCTAATAATACGGCAAAACGATTAGGCAAACTACTGCAACCACAGTTAAAGATAACCCTTATACACATACAAGCATATATATACACACACACACACTACATAAATGCTGAACCAAAAACAATGCTTGCCAATTACAACTTTGATTGGTTTATGACATCCTTCATGACAATTATCTAATGAGAAATGATAAGTATGGCAATTAAAAAAGCCTAAATGATCTGCAGAATGCATTTGGAAAAACAATTGGGCATTTAACCAAACAAATTTTTAAAGGATATTAAAATATTTTCGTATAAAAAACCAACTTCTTATTAAGAAATTAAGAAAATGAGTATGGTTTCCCCCATCATGTGCAACCAAAAATCACCTATCAAAGGGAAGGAGAAATCTTCCTTGACCGACGATTATCCTCATGACCTAGCCCACCTCCCACACCAACACACCAATGGGTCAGAGCTGACCCACGTTCAAGTCCGTCCAACTAATCAACATGGGACTAGTTAAAGGCTGACACACTGACCAGCCTTTAATTTGAAGGATGATTTAGGGCAACGTTTAATATGCATGTTACAAATAAAGGGGGAAGTCATCAGTCAAATGAAAGACTTCTCCCCTCCCTCATTTTCATATTAACCGCTCCCCCATTTCCCCAACACTTATCATAACCATTCTACGCTCTCTCAATCTCATCCAACTTTCTCATTTAGCTCTCTTCTTCCACTTGTTTAAGTGTTATTGATTGTGTTTCTTATTTTTAAAATCCGGAACTCTTTATCAGACATATCTAGTTAGTATCTAATTGTTGAATCCATAACTATCCATCACACCCAATTGTGATGCAGCACCAAAAAAGGTCAATGAAAATATCACAAACTAAGGCCCATCGTTAGAATTTGAGCAGTCATCATGCAAAACTCTATGCAAACCCGTGAACGTCCCATAATACTGTTAAAATCATAGGAGAATGATTTAAAAGCTTAATTTAAAGCCCTTTGATGGATAGGTGGGTAATACAAGTCAAAAAGACAGAGATTCTGGTTACAAAATAATGAAAAGATTAAAAGGCTTCAAGAGTTTATAGTCAACCTGGTCACCCAAGTTCAAAACCTAAATGTTAGGATATAAACTCATCCATTAGCACCAAATCCTATAGACACTGAAATAATAGAAGACTTCATGAAAAATCCTAGGGAGCCAATTCATCACAGAAGACAACCATATAGGAACAACCGTAGGAATGACCACCCTAGAAATCAAGAGACCTTATTTGAACCAATCAAGAAAGTTAAGATAGATGCTCCTACTTATGATGGAGTCTATGACCCCAACAGGTTCTTAGATTGGCACATAAATGGATGAATTCTTTGATTAGTACTAAATAGATGGTTGCCAAATAACTATCCTTGCTAAAATGAAACTCATAGGTCATGCAAAAATTTATTGGACCAATGTCTTCATTAAGTAAGAAAGATTAGGAGTGAAGATAGAAGAAATGCTACAGACTTATTACTATTCTAGAAGCTAATGACAAGAAGCTACATGAATAGTTGATTACCCTAGGCAAGACAATATACAAGTGACAGAATATATAAACATATTTAAGGATTTAGTAGCTAGGACTAATGGCACGGATCGGGAATGGAATTTAGCCAATAAGTTTGCCATTGGTCTTAAGAGTGAGATACGATATGAGGTTGAGTATCAAGTCCCTTAGACCACTAAGGATGCTTTTCATTATGCTTTTCTCTTAGAAAAGCATAAGAAGGTAGCATCTTCATCTAGATCTAAAGGGTCAAATCCATCCTTTCAATCATCATCTTATTATGTCAAAAATTTTACTGCTAAGTCTGAACCTACATATTCTACTGCCCAACCAAATAAGAGTTTCACCAAAAAAATCTTCTAAGCCTAGAGAGATTGTTTACTTCAAGTGTCACAAAAAGACACATATGCAAAATCAGTGCAAAGCTAAAATTATATTATGAGATGATAATAAGAAAGAGGTAAAAAAGGGGGAGTTGATGATGAGGTACAATAAAACCAATTATGAAACCCTTTATCTGATGAGGATATAGGTCAACATGTAGAAATTGACCTCAACATCAAAGATGTCTGACAACATATAGTACTGAAGATTGGATAATGAGAAGTATTTTCTCCATCATTATTGAATGTAAGAATAAAATATCCAAATTAGTTCTTGATAGGGGCAGCGTCATGAATGCAGTATCCACACACTTTCAAGAGCTAACCTTAAAACACAACCCCATCCAAAGCCATACACAGCGAACTGATTGAATGACACTTCATTACTCATCATATCAAAATATTTAGTATCCATTAAGATAGGTAGCTATGTGGACAATATATGGTGCGATGTACTTCAAATAAAAGTAGCCTATGTACTTTTAGGAAGACCATGATTATTTAAAAGAGATGTCATATATTTTAGGAGAGAGAACACTTATTTATTTCTATTCAATGATAAAGTTTTAAGCTCTATCCATTTAACCTGACTATAATAGTAAGGAAAACTCCACACATTATTTTAGGCACCATCCTAAAAACCTACATTAGACATAAAAGATTATATATGATGCAATTAGGGGCCAAATTCAACAAATTCAAAATACTATGCTTAATATGAGTATGACTTGGCTGTAATCTTTTATGAAAATAATATATGATTGCAATTCAATTAAGCCAACTCTTCTTGCTAGCATCCTCATACATGCATTTTTTCATTCTGCATTTATATTTGTAAAAGATTTTCAAAGCCTTCATGTTAATGTAAAGAATCAATTAGAAATTACAAATATAAAATATATTGAATCTAGAAATAAATATAAAACTTTTAAAAGTTCATCTTTAGGAATCATGTGTTAATTCAAATTTGTCCTAAGAGATATCCTTCCACATTAGTTAGAAAGTTACAAGCTAAAGCATATGGGCCTTTCAAAATGATTAAGAAAACTGACACTAATGCATATGCTATTGATTTGCCTAAAGATATGTTTATCAACTCAGCTTTTAATATGAAAGATTTTATTTCACATAAAAGAGTTAACCAACCTAAAAATGCATAGGATACTTCTTTTGCAGGAACCCAAACTCATTCTTTGACGGAGTCAAACTGACATTCATTTTTTAAGGTGTACCACATCATCATATGCGAGGAGGACCGGCTTAAAGATTATAGATTCTTAGTGAGGTGGATAGACAAACCACTCACTGAGAGGACATTTGGCTCACTGGATAGATTTTGCAGAAGCTGGCACCAGATTTAGCAGTTGATTACTTGAACATTAACACTTTAAAGAAGAGCTTTTTGACATCCAAGGGAAATAATGTGGCACATGGAGGTGATCCTACCACTAGAGTTAGAGCAAGAGCACATGGATTTGGTTCTATCACTAGAACAAGGACAAGAGCACACGAAGCTCAAGTCATGAAGAAAATATAAGGATTTACATCATTATATATTTTTATGCATTTAGTATTATAATTTTATGTACTTTCATGTGTATGGTGTTTTTAATATTATATGGACTTGGAGAAATTGTATTTTGTTTTGCATGTGTTTGATATATTAAGCCTGAGTCATGATCAAGACAAAGGGGCCAGCCATGCTAGAGTATATGTGAGAATTGGGGGTGGTTGTAGGTGGTAATGTGGTCGAACCCTCCCTCCACTCCAATTCCTTTTTTTTTTTAATTTAAATAAAGGGAAGTGTTTCTTCAAGTGGTGTTGTTTGCATTATATGAACTTCAAGAGATTGTATTTTGATTCACTAGTGTTTAATGTATTAAGCTTAAGTCATAGTCAAGTAGGGGCCAAACCTGCTAGTGTGTATGTGAGAATTAGGGGTGGTTATAGATGGTTACTAGCCGGCCCCAGCAAGAGGTTGGCCCCTCCTCTACTCCAATTCCCTCTTTGTTTTGAATTTAAATGATGGGATGTATCTCTTCAAATAGTGTTAATTGTATAAAAACTTCCTTTTTATTGAAATGAAGTAGCTTTTGGTTGCTTACACGTTCTGGAAAAAAAATCCAAAAAAATTGGTGGCTTGGTGATCGGCCAGCTCAAGAGGATTGGGAGATCCTCTTAGAGCTCTGTATTGATGAGTAGGGTTTTAATTTTTCTATAATTTTTTTACAGCAATCTTCGATCATTATGTTCTACTGTTTGTACTCCATCTTGGAAAATTCAAATCATTTTCCCTCCCTCAAAATTCAAGTCAAATCCCTATTTTTAAGTGTTGGCCATATTTCTGGTTTTGTTGAACTAGTTCAACTCTAGGAAGCATTTGACCAATCAAAATCTAAAAAAAGTCAACCAAAATCTCAAAATCCTTAATATCTATCATATGCGTCAATAATCCTAAATTTATTTGAGGTTGTTTATCATGTTGATATCAGTAAATCATATCTTGTTATTTCTACGACCTTTACAAAAGCCATCCTTAAAGATACAAAATAAAAATTTAAAAAAAAAAAATCCTTAAAGATAAAACTCAAGATCGCAACCATACCTTTTTTGCAACCGTTTTGTTATCTTTCTTCCCCTTGAATAATTTATCCAAAAGCTTGTGCAGGAAATGCCCAAAAGGTCCACCATATGCAAATCCAAATATCTAGATTTCTTAATATTAGCAATATATAACTTCATCATTCAAATAATCTCTAATAATCTGCAAGTAATAATTCACAATATTTTTAAACAGCATTGAAAGAAACACCAAAAAATTCGATCCACATAATAATTTTCTTAATGAAATAAATTTTGGAAAGAAAAAAAAAAAAAGAGAATAGGGAAAATATAGCAGAACAAGCTTTTAAAAAATGAGATTAAAACTCCAAAAATTCAGGTCCCCTCAAACCGTAAAACTAATGACCGACCAAGATTCTAGTGCAATTTTGATTGACCACAGGTTTAGGCCGGTCAAAGCAGAATGGGTGTGAAGAGCACCACTCAAAATATAATAAAGTCCTAATAAAATTGATACGGAAAAACGATTAGGCAAACTACTGCAACCACAGTTAATGATAGCCCTTATATATATATATATATATATATGCATGCTGAACCAAAAACAATGCTTGCCAATTACAACTTTGATTGGTTTATGACATCCTTCATGACAATTATTTAATGAGAAATGATAAGTATGGCAATTCAAAAAGCCTAAATGATCTGCAGAATGCATTTGGAAAAAAAATTGGGCATTTAACCAAACAAATTTTTAAAGGATATTAAAATATTTTCATATAAAAAACCAACTTCTTATTAAGAAATTAAGAAAATGAGTATGGTTTCGCCCCATCATGTGCAACCAAAAATCACCTATCAAAAGGAAGGAGAAATCTTCCTTGACCGACGATTTATCCTCATGCCTAGCCCACCTCCCACACCAACACACCAATGGGTCAGAGCTGACCCAACGTTCAAGTCAGTCCAACTAATAAACATGGGACTAGTTAAAGGCTGACACACTGACCAGCCTTTAATTTGAAGGATGATTTAGGGCAACGTTTAATATGCATGTTACTAATAAAGGGGGAAGTCATCAGTCAAATGAAAGACTTCTCCCCTCCCTCATTTTCATATTAACCCCTCCTCCATTTCCCCAACACTTATCATAACCATTCTACGCTCTCTCAATCTCATCCAACTTTCTCATTTAGCTCTCTTCTTCCACTAGTTTAAGTGCTATTGATTGTGTTTCTTATTTTTAAAATCCGGAACTCTTTATCAGACATATCTAGTTAGTATCTAATTGTTGAATCCATAACTGTCCATCACACTCAATTGTGATGCAGCACCAAGAAAGGTCAATGACAATATCACAAACTAAGGTTCATCGTTAGAATTTGAGCAGTCATCATGCAAAACTCTATGCAAACCCATGAACGTCCCATAATACTGTTAAAATCATAGGAGAATGATTTAAAAGCTTAATTTAAAACCCTTTGATGAATAGGTGGGTAATACAAGTCAAAAAGACAAAGAGATTTTGGTTACAAAATAATGAAAAGATTAAAAGGCTTCAAGAGTTTATAGTCAACCTAGTCACCCAAGTTCAAAACCTAAATGTTAGGATATAAACTCTTCCATTAGCACCAAATCCTATAGACACTGAAATAATAGAAGACTTCATGAAAAATCCTAGGGAGCCAATTCATCACAGAAGACAACCATAAAGGAACAACCATAGGAATGACCACCCTAGAAATCAAGAGACCTTATTTGAACCAATCGAGAAAGTTAAGATAGATGCTCCTACATATGACGGAGTCTATGACCCCAACAGGTTCTTAGATTGACACATAAATGAATGAATCTTTGATTAGTACTAAATAGATGGTTATCAAAGAACTATCCTTGCTAAAATGAAACTCATAGGTCAAGCAAAAATTTATTGGACCATGTCTTCATTAAGGAAGAAAGATTAGGAAGACACCATCTTACGTGGGTAAAGATAGAAGAAATGCTACAGACTTATTACTGTTCTAGAAGCTAATGACAAGAAGCTACATGAATAGTTAATGACCCTAGGCAAGACAATATACAAGTGACAGAATATATAAACATATTTAAGGATTTAGTAGCTAGGACTAATGGCACGGATCGGGAATGGCATTTAGCCAATAAGTTTGCCATTGGTCTTAAGAGTGAGATACGATATGAGGTTGAGTATCAAGTCCCTTAGACCGCTAGGGATGCTTTTCATTATGCTTTTCTCTTAGAAAAGCATAAGAAGGTAGCATCTACATCTAGATCTAAAGGGTAAAATCCATCCTTTCAATCATCATCTTATTATGTCAAAAAATTTACTGCTAAGTCTGAACCTACATATTCTACTGCCCAACCAAATAAGAGTTTCACCAAAAAAATCTTCTAAGCCTAGAGAGATAGTTTACTTCAAGTGTCACAAAAACAGACATGCAAAATCAGTGCAAAGCTAAAATTACATTCTGAGATGATAATAAGAAAGAGGTAAAAAAGGGGGAGTTGATGATGAGGTACAAAAAATCTATTATGATACCCTTTATCTGATGAGAATATAGGTCAACATGTAGAAATTGACCTCAACATAAAAGATGTCTGACAACATATAGTACTGAAGATTGGATAATGAGAAGTATTTTCTCCATCATTATTGAATGTAAGAATAAAATATCCAAATTAGTTCTTGATGGGGGCAGTGCCATGAATGCAGTATCCCCAGTTTGGTTTTATCTAAATTAAGCTACATGAATACTTATTACTGTATTTGAGCTACCTGTCACTTGTATTTGCCCCAGCAAGAGGTTGGCCCCTCCTCTACTCCAATTCCCTCTTTGTTTTGAATTTAAATGATGGGATGTATCTCTTCAAATAGTGTTAATTGTATAAAAACTTCCTTTTATTGAAATGAAGTAGCTTTTGGTTGCTTACACGTTCTGGAAAAAAAAGAGTCCAAAAAAATTGGTGGCTTGGTGATCGGCCAGCTCAAGAGGATTGGGAGATCCTCTTAGAGCTCTGTATTGATGAGTAGGGTTTTAATTTTTTTACAGCAATCTTCGATCATTATGTTCTACTGTTTGTACTCCATCTTGGAAAAATTCAAATCGTTTTCCCTCCCTCAAAATTCAAGTCAAATCCCTATTTTAAGTGTTGGCCATATTTCTGGTTTTGTTGAACTAGTTCAACTCTAGGAAGCATTTGACCAATCAAGATCTAAAAAAAGTCGACCAAAATCTCCAAATCTTTAATATCTATCATATGCGTCAATAATCCTAAATTTATTTGAGGTTGTTATAGTCGAAATTCTAGAGAAAGTTCAGCCTTAGTCTAATTTCCTATTTGTTTTTCAATTATGTAACCTATTTTTAGTCAACAAAAAAATCACAAAAAATTTATTAAAACTCCATTAAAATATCTCAAGCCCTCCAGATATCATCTTGAGGAAGTCTTTGAAATATTCCAAGTAACGTTTTTGAATTCCATCTAATCCATAGAAAATCCCAACCAAATTCTCAAGTTTGGTCTGTTCTGGACATAACTGACCAACACTACTTCTAGAGCACATTAGACCTACCAAGTTATGTACATTTCTTATCAAAATATCCAGAATTAAAGTTGACTATAAATCAAGTACAAATTCACTATTTTTAGAGTTCTTGACAGTAAGAACCATTAGGTAGAAAATTGTGTTTTCAATGACATATTGCAAGGAAGTGTTAATCTACCATCCAAACTCTATAAACTTGACTCTCTACTTAAATTAAATCCATCAAATTAAGATTTACAATTCTAATTATCTTAAAAAAGTCTCTTATATACCAATTGATCACATTAGTGATTTAAATTCCACCACCAACCCTCATCAGCGTCCTATGAGCTTGGGGTGTAAATTCAAGTTGAGGGGTCAAGTTCAAGTTTGACCTGAAGTTGACCCAATATAAATCTATTTGACCCACACTCAACCCATCTATTACATGGAACAACATGTTTGACTAGAACTCTGCTCAATTTAAACAAACCTAACCTGAAACTGACCTATCTAACTCATTTATTATATGGATCATACATTTTTTTTTATCAACATGACTAAATTAACCTGAAAATAATCAATTTAACCTAATGATATATGTCTATTTCAACAATGTGTAACTAGCTTTTATTTCAAATGAAGTACATTAAAAATGAAAATCAAAAAGTATTTTTCTTAAAAGAAAATGTTCAATAAAGGTGGATGAGATATTTCAATAAACTTTTTAATGAAGGTTGTCATAATATGATTGGCTTTAGTGACTTTAGCACCGTAAATGAAAATAAAAATTTTTATTTTTATTGATATATTAGTAAAATCAAAATTGGAGAAGCTTTAAATATAATAAAGTGTGAAAAATAATAAGACATGATGATATTCCAATAGAAGTGTAAAAAGCTTAGGAGATCAAGGAATTTCTTGGCTTACCAAGCTTTTAATATTATTTTGAAGACTAAAAAGATGTCAAATGAGTTAAGGAGTGTGTTGGTTTCTATTTTTAAGAATAAAAGTGATGAGCAAGAGTGTGTGAACTATAAAAAAATTAAATTATGAAGGGGGTTGATGATGCTTTTTGTTGATGTATTAACCTTGGTATATGTTTTTTTCTTGATGATATTTTTTCTTGTTGATAATATTAGAGGGGGAGTCGATGAAAAACTTGAATTATGGAGGTCAACCTTAGAGTCTAAAGATTTTCGTTTTAGTAGATCTAAAATCGAATACATAGCGTATAATTTTAGTAGTAATAGATCTAATGGTAGGATTGTGACATTAGATCATCAAATAATTAAAAACAATGCATGTTTTAGATATCTCAAGTCTATTATTCAAAGCTATGGTGAAATAGATAGGAATTTTATTAGTAGAATTCAAGTTAAATAGTTGAAGTGGGGGAATGCATCGGGTTTGTTGTGTGATAAAAAAGTACACCTCAAACTTAAGGGAAAAGTTTATAAGATAGTGGTGAGACTGCAATACTTTATGGCGTATAATGCTAGCCATGAAAAAAGAAGCATTAAATTAAGTTAAGTGTTGCAAAGACAAAGATGCTCAGGTGAATAAATGAATTTATATTTAGAGATAGAATGTGAAATGAGTATATATGTGAAAAGATTAGAGTGGCTCCAGTGGCAGATAAGATTGGAGAGAGTCACCTTTGATCGCATAAAATGTCGGTCTTCCGACGACCTTGTTAAGAAAGTAGATGTATTATAATCGGCCTATGTTAAGAAAGTGTGTGGACATAAAAAGGCTTTCTTAGAAAGTATTAAAAAATAATCTTTTTTTCTTAGATGTAAATGAGAATCTGACTCTTCATATGACACAATGGAAAAAAAAGGATCCAAGTAGCCGACCCAGCATGGTTGGATAAAGGCTTTTTTTAGTTTTTTTTTCCAAAACACGAACTCAAATAGCAATCAGGTCGATTTCTAGTTCATTTTGGGTTATTCAAGTTAAGTCAAACCTAACCATAATAATAATTGAGTTTTAAAGTAATAGAGTCTTTAAAGTAATAGAGTCAAGGCGAACCCTATTTTTTAGTCAAATTTGAGGTTGTTGTGCCTTGTCATTTATTGACGCCCCTACTTATGAGTATATGCAAACCATGACAACATAGTTCCATATCATCTTCTCTTCTTCACAAATCTCATTCTTCATCAGTTGAAAGCTATCAAGCAAACTCCTTGCATTTCCTTGTCATATCCTCTCCTTGAATCCGCCTTCACGGAATCACAAAAAAAAAATCTACAGATGACCCCATACTCACTCAGCCAACTCTATATATAACTATGCTAGCCAATCAAACTAAAAAAACAATCTTCAAAGGTCTGGCTGGCTTACTACTTTCAATAGAAGCCTCCGAAGTTGAATCCTCTGAAGACCGGACAGTTTCTGCGCCACAGAATCGCTGATTCCAGCCAAAACGCCAGCGGTGATAGCCTGTAAGCCGGCAATACATAAAGAAACACTGCCATCAAAATATCAAATGATTCTTCATCGAGAAAAATAAAAAAGAACCTTAGTCCTAAGCGGATGAAGCTGGAGCTGAAGCATGTACTGCTCCCATCCCTTCTTTGCCACCGCAGCCATTATCACGAATACCTATTTCCTCCGTTAATTTTAGGGGATGAGAGGGAAGCGACGACCGCCGACCGGTAATTGAGAGCTACGAGCCCAATTCTGACGGGACTCGCCTCGTGCTCTCTCTGGAGTAAATCAGCTACCAGCCCAAGGCAGCTTTTGGTTATGGATTCTTTTTCTAACCTTCTTGAGGAGAGAGGCTTTAAAGGTATTTCTACTCAGGACTATTCTCTTTCTCATCTGCTTTAT